GGGGGGGGGGGAAGCAATCAGGCGGGTGAGGGAGATGGGGAGGTGGAGGGGGGTCGACATGAAAGCACAACCGTAAGAGGAGGGGCAACAGTAACAGGGTCCTCTGAGGCTCCAGGTTGTTGGTGTTTCGAGGAGCCTCGGCATTCAAGGGGAATCCAGGGCTTGCGGGCATCGACCCTAGATCCTGAATATAAGAACGCCATCCCAAAGAAGGTTCCCTTAATTTCAACCGCGCCCCGATGAATGCCTATGAACACGCTTTTCAAACCCTCCAGATCTGGGGCGTTCGTTCTTTCGTGTTTCAGATTTTGCTCGGGCTGTAATCCCGAGAAGTTGAGTTGGCAATTGGCTGACGTCTCCCGCAAGGTATAGAGCCAGCATTTCGTGAGGACATCAAAACTCGCAAGCACTGTGGCATGCAGTCGCCAGGCGCCGCTGAGCTGAAGAGGCCGGCCGCTTGGAATTGTGGACCGTCCTCTGAACGTGTCAGGTGGCTTTACGGTACGTCTTCTTGCTTTAAGGGTACAGGCATGAGCAGGGGCGGTGGTGCTGCTTGTGGTTTGATATGTGATCCTTTTTCAGCACTGGTGCATGTTTTCGGGGAGGCAGATGAAAGCAGTTTCAGTAGCGACAGCAGACGTAGAGGACCAGCTGCTGGCAATATTAAGTTTGGCTGTTCATCGCTGTGCATTGATGTTTCAAGCAAGGAGCGGTGTCGTGCATGACACACTCATCGTCTCTACCGCATAACCACAGCAATCTGCCCAGAGGCCCTAAACATTTCAAGCCATGCATTCACGCGGAACAGCAGCGCAGCAGGAGGCTGCCACATGTGGATTCGCACTTTTTTTCTGGTTGGGGTCAGCGATGTGGCGCATGTTCTGGGGCTTCTGACAGCCGCAGTGGTCCGCATCTTGGACGGGCCTCTCGGTTGCACGTCACACCAGATAGCCCAGATTCCTCCGTTTGCTTCCTGTTATGTGCCCCGTAAACAGATAGAATAAAATCGGTGTTGCATGGATCAGGCATTGGCACAAGGAATGACAGCTGTGCTATGGCAGACAGTACCTCATCACACTGCTTTCGGCCAGCCCCATCAACTCATGACAAGGCCAGCCCCACGTCACGCCCAAGTTCGACCACCTGCATCCAGCATGCTGAAGCCTACTTGCAAGAGCTCCTTGTCCGAGACGAGGGTCGCTGTTCCTAGGACACGTCTTTTCAGAGAGTCTCAGAAGCGATACTCTTATGAGCCAATGAGCCTCAGCGCTGAAGTGCCGAGGCCGTGCCAAGGCCAAAGTTAAGGCCAAAGCCGAGGCCAAGTCGGAGGTCGCCAGGGGCTTCTGTGGGAGCTAGCAGCCTTCCATAATGCTTTGGCCCACGCTGATGACATATGATGACATCTCTGGAACATGAATTGGATCCTCAAATGACACCCCTGAGGCAGAGACTTGTTCCCAGCTCTGTCAGATGCCCGATTCTTCCAATGCAGAAATTGAAACGTGCAGGCCTGGAAGCTGGGCGCCCGCGCCAAGTCTTCGGCAAAGCCTACATCAGGAGTGCTTCCCGCCCGTAGTTTTGGACCATGGCCTCGGGGCCTCGAGATGTTACTTTGAAGACTGGGGTTCAGTTTTGCGGTTTCAAGAGAATGGGTCAGTTTTGGGCTTCGAATGTGGGGGGAATCTGTGTCGACAGTGCTTTGCGTAAGCAGTTGACATGTTCTGCCATGCTCGATCATGGTGATCAGCTTCAAAGGGTTGTCAAGGCCAGGCAAGCGTTAAATACAACGGTGAGGATGGGCCATCTGTCTGATTACATGAGACTCTCCCAACAGGGCCCGCCGCTGCGGCCTCGGCGGCCGGTGCTGGGAAGCCGAAGGCTGGTTTACCGTTCATGGACAGCTGCGCCACAGTTTGCCAAGTAGTTTTGAGCTGTCGCAACACAGCCCGAAGGCTCCGTCCTGTTGTCTTTAGAAGAGATTTTCGCTTCGGTGAAGGTTGCATGGCGAGTTGATCACCTTAAACTCACAAAGTAAAACCTCCTCAACCCCAAGCTGTGAAACTCTAAAGGTTGACCTTGCGCTCCTTGCTTCAGGCGTCACCTGAAGCCACACCCACCTGAATCGACTCGTGTGGCTGTAGGTGCTGATAGCGCCGAGCAAGATTTCGGCAGGCCTCGAGACAGCTTCACTCCTGCTTCACACCTTTCCGGTTGCCTGTTTCAGAATTTCTCGGTGAGGTGCAGGTCTCTTTGCTGGGCATGGTGCCGTGTTTCGTTTCTACCATGTCTCCGATGCTCCTGCGCATTTCTCCAAGCCCAACCTCCTGCGTCACAGCTGTCACAGCCTTGCGCGAAGGGGCGGCACCGCCGCCCAAAGCTCCGGCAAAGGCAACGCCGCCCAAGGCACCGCCGCCCACAAAGGCAGTCTCGCCAGCATGTGGCGTGTTTTTGTTTCGGCTCTGGATTGCCGGCCTGCTCCGCTCAGCAGGCCTTGGGGTGAAGCGTCTCCAGAAGCCTTTGGGACAACCTCAGGCTGTTCGTGAGAGAGAGTGACGACATTTTAAGCAGGGGGATATTAAAAGATATTAAAAGCCAGGTCCGAGCAATGATACGCGGGTGGTCGTGCCACTGCCCTTCCGAGGCAGCAAGGCCGAGTGTGTCTCATGGATCTACTGCGGGATGCTTGGCTGGCAGACGGAGCCGAGGAAGAGGGATGGAGACAAAGGAAGTCCCAGCTTAGGGTGCGGAGGGTTCGAGGAAGTCTTGGGGGGTCATGGTTTAGAGCCCCACGAGTGTTTGGCGAAAGCGGGAGGATGCCTCCCTTCTTCAGAGATCTCCTTCAGCCTATGCCTGGCTCTGCCACCAGTGCAAGGACTCGAAGCCGCCCTGCAGTCATCGATAGGACGAGGCCTTGGACTTGTACAGTTTGGCGCACAGGGTGGGGTCGGAGAAGGCGGCAGCATGAGAGCTTGAGGGTATTTTCACAAGCTGGAAAGCTGCGCCTCAAACCTGAGGGTATGTGAATCTCCCCTTGGATCCTACAATCCCAAGACTAGTCGATTCTTGTACCCTGACAAGTAAGCAGCCAGCACGAATCAGCTGCTTGAGTAGTTGTAGCCGCCCGAATCGCCAAGAGTTGGAGGCCCAGGGTCCAGGATGTGTGGCCCACCGCTGCAAGTTGGCCTCGAAAAGAAGTCCAGTGGGGTAGGCCGGTTTGCGAGTGTTCCGCCACACGGTCGAAATTAACTTCCAGGAACTAGAAGCTGACAGTGTTGGCCCCGGAGGCACGAAGCGGGTTGCGCCCGAGGGCGATGACTTTGCAGCAATGGCCGCGGCTGCAGCACGGCTGGTGCAGGGGCTCGTTCCAGGCTTGGGATGTTTATTCAGGGGGCGGCGTTCAATCCCAAGGAGCCCGACACCCCGTCCCAGACTCTCTTGCCACTGCTGAAGGGTCTTGCTAGCCTTTGGGAGGAACCGAGACGGCAGCCTCAGGTCAAGCATCACAAGAGTGCGACGCCAAAGGTCAAAGCCCTTGCGGAGGTCGCATCTCGCCTATCAGGTCCACCGTTTCGCGGCCATAGGAAATGTGACAAGGGTCTATTTCCGACCCGTGACATCGCCAGGTCTAGAGCCTAGATCTGTACACAAGGTGTTGCGATGACACCATGACCAACCACAAGTAAATCACCGTGAGAGCCCAAGATCCCCAGGTCTGCCCAGACTACGATGAGCGAGACCCTTATCGCCTTGCACAAGGCATCCGTGCCTGGGCCACGCAGGGCGACAAGGCAAGCGAGCGAGAGCGAAAACTCTTATACATCTCTGGACTGATGGCCGCTCAAGATGCAATCGAGCCCGCTGCTACCGACCACAGCGCCCGGCATGTGGGGCGTTGCAAGCCCTTAGTCTGGAAAACCACTTGTTTCATTGACGTGACAAAACGGAGCTGCCCCAAGCCGTGCCCACCCGCCCGCCCCCACATCTCGAATTGAGTTTAGGCTTAGCTTCTGCACCGTGAGAAGGCAGTCCCGGCGCCCTGGGCCACCTTCCCGGACGCGTGACTTGGCCTGCCTTTATTCGAGCCTGCAGTGCTGCAGAGTCAACCCTAGGGTGGGCGATTGCTGCAGGCGGATGCCTGCAGAGCTGAGCCGCGCCTTCTACGGATTCGGTTTTACTGCGCCGGGGCTCCCAACAAATTGAAGACGTTCATTCGTTGGAGTGCCGATGATACGAGGCCAAAGAGAGGATGATGAAATTGATGAACTCCGTGAGACCTTTTCCTGAACGCCCCCGAAGCTCCGAAGTGCTCGAGAGGCCCACGCCGATCCAGGCTCAGGTCTGGCCGGTGGCCTGCCAGGGCTTAGATGTGATCGGCATCGTGACGCGGCTCGAAGGAGGCTTTGTGGGGAGTTTGTTGTCAGGGGTTTCGAGTTTCCATTCTGTTTCGATGCTGGCTGCTTCGCAGGGCAATAGGGTCTGCGGCTGTGTGCTGGGTTGCTGCCCGAGCCCAGGCACGGACGGGGTCCGGCAAGACCCTCGCATACCTGTACCCGGCCTATCTGTGGAGACTTGGGTGCACGCTCGCACCAGCATACTGTATTCATACACCAAGACAGACTTGCAAAGGAGAGCTGAACAGTCATCGGGCAGGGCTTCTTGGGAAACGCATGCACGAATTCGGAAGTTTGAGGGTAATGGCTGCATATTGACCTCAGGGGCTTGGTGTTCGTTGGCCGATGCCCTGTGCAGCCCTGGGCAGTTTTCTTTGGCATCTCTTTGGTCTCCAAGCTACTGTGTGTTTGGAGTTATCATCGCACCCACCCTTGAAGCTGTCAATCTTCTTCAACAGGGGGCAAACTTCCCTTTGTTCACCGCCTTTTTTGGCGGTGTGGACTCGACTTCCAGAGCTTGATTCCTCGATAGGCCCTCATCCTACGACTCCTTGAGCGAAGGATGGGATCTCACCGCGGCTCCGGGGTGCGGTCACTGATCCTGGCACCAACGCGTGAGCTGGCCACGCAGATCCACGAAGAGGTCAACAAATGGGGGCTAGGATTGGCGACAAACTGTTTGGGGATGTGGCGGATATGATCTCTGTTTAAGAGAGGCTGGGGTGTTCCGTGGGATGCTGCAAGTCATTGGATGTTGATCTGAAAGCACCAGCTTACAACCCAAACAAGTCAGGCGCCAAATCAAGTCTCCCTCCACCTAGCCCCTACCGTCTCCCAAAACATTCCGGCTGCCACAGTACGGATGACAGAACGCATTTGGGCTTTGCCTATTTGCAGTGCTTTCATGTGTACCAGGAAACCGCGAAAGCGCAGAGACACTCGAATGGTGTTGCAGGCTGCCAAGTTTGCAGCAGCAGCGAAGTTCACTAGCGCTTGCGTGGCTTGGTCAGCAGATGTTCCACAGGGTACCTGAAGGTCGGTAGGTCGACAGTTCGGGTTGGTTGTTGCATGCTGCTTTGTGACGACACGATTTAGCTTGCTGCATGTGTGCAGCCCGGCTCTTCTCAGAGCTCCATAAAGTCACAGAGCTCATCTGTTCTGGCACCTTGTCCGGTTCGTCGTGTTTCTGTTTGATTTGAGGCGCGCCAGGAGCATTCCATCTTTCTTACAAGAGCGATGCATTATCTCAGTGTCAAGAGAAGACGCTTAGGCTTGGGGGAACTGCCTGGACATCCGAGACTCCTACAATTTTCGCGTTAAACTCCTAAGTCTTAAGCATTCACTCCGTTCGGCTGCTTCAGGTCTATGGTGGTGTGCCCAAGAAGGACTCGCGGTGGTTGCCGTCAGTGCCATGTACTCCTTCGGCGGCGATGCTTTTGAGGGGGGGCAAGCACAAATGTCTGTGTGTTTGCTTGCTTGTTGGTTTGAATGTCAGAGGAGCAGCTGCCACTTGTTCGCGCCGGGGCACCAATTCTGGTGGCGACCCCCGGGCGTCTGAATGACTTCCTGGAGCATCTTGGGCAAAAAGAAGAGATGTGCTTCTAGCATGTGCATGCAGATACGACACCAGCACGAGGGCAATGAGTGCCTTGAGACTGCTCAGAGACGGCTCTCTGTCCACGTCCGAGTCTGCCTTCCTTTCTGCTTACCAGACGGAAAAACAGAAAACCAGATGCAATGAGTAATCGCTGATCTTGCTGCTCCAAAGACCTCGGAGACCAAATCCACAATGGAGCCAACCTCTCCAGAACAGACGAGGAATCCCGGACCCTGCGAGGTCCCGGCAGATCTCTCTCCAAAGTGTGGGCTACCTCGTTTTCGATGAAGCGGACAGGATGCTAGATATGGGCTCCATGCCTACAACTGGAACGTCGGAGCTTCCAGAAGCTTTTGGAATTGCGACACTATGCGAGGGTTGCTCCGCAACGTGGACCTAGGTAAGCAGGCGCTCTGCAGCAGCTCCAGAGTGTGCGACATTTTCGTTTGCTCTTGCCAGCTTCGAGTTACCATGTAACAAGAAGCCTCACATGGGAGTTGTCACTGCTGCTCAGATGCTAGTCCGACCCGGCAACTCTGCGGACCACCCTATTTTAAGCGCTCGGATGGGGTCCTCTTCCAGAGCTGTAAATTGGAACACGTTCTTGGCACACCCAGAAGCAGCAGGAAATTCAACAGATGCAGGGGTGAGATACGTTGAAGCAGAGATCCAACGCCCTGCCAGCACACTCAGGCTTCGAGCCGCAAATTCGTGATATCGTGTTCCTTTGCCGCAGTATTGTGGTCTGGCACAACCAGTAGATGCAGGCATGGCAGTTGGACGCCGAACAGCGGAGGGATTGTGCTGGCAGGAAGCCTTGCTTATTCTCATTCGTTCGGAGCTGGCAGTATGGGTGCTACCGAAACAGTGTCGAACCTTCGTATCTGTTCTCCCCTGCAACGCCTCGGCTTTTGGAATAGGTAAGTCAGGTTTCGGAGGTTCGACTTTGACGGATGCGGTTTTGATTTGGGTTAGGTCATTCGACTTTCAGCGCAGTAGCGGGGCGTGGACTTGAACAGCATAGTCTTGCACCATGGAAATGAACATGGCCCCCAGCTTCACCTTGCCTTGTGGTCAGAAAGCAGCTCCCTCGCCGACGTCAAACGCTGCTTGGATCAGAAAGGTGGACCTCTTCGTGTTCAGGTTTTCTTCGGGACCGGAGTTTGCATGCGGCCCGGTGACGGTTTATGCATAGCCGGCGGCTCCGAACCCTCAGACTTTCTGTACACAGTAAAGGCTTAGCGGCTAACTGATTTGGGCGTCGCATTGGTTCGCAAGTGGATTTTTCGTAGGCAGTCGAAGTACGAGTCCGCAGGAAGAATAGTTGCGATCTTTGGTAGCTTAGGCCGCATCTCCCCGGTGCTTGCCCTACAACAACGATAGCGGTGTACGTACCGAGTGGGACAGCCCAATCGATTGAAGGCTGATGTTCAGTGCCACGTGGCCAGAGGAGGTCCAGGCTTTGGCCCACGACTTTCTGCAGGACTGGCAAACCCTAGCAGATACGTTAACACCCCAGAGCCCAAGCCGAAATGATGGGGTTGCTGAGGCTTGTTTTCGTGGGGTGGGGATGCAGTGAGGCCTACTGAGGCTTCTTTTGATGGAGATCGGGGAGGACGAGACCAAATGTCGTCTGTAACTGTTGAACATATTTTGATATAATCGAAATCTGCTTGCTCAGCTGAGAAGCACCGAGCCTGGACAGTGTCACTAGTTCCTGGTAGGTAGTTGCAAGCTAGAAGAGACGTTGAGAGTGACCGAATCTTTGGAGGAGTCCAGGTAGGTTCAAGATCTTCTGCAGGATGTAGCAAGGCAGGAAGACTATCTGGTGCCGAGCTGTGGTGTGCTTCTTATGCCGGAAGAAGGTCCCCAAGAGGAGAAGCTCACAATGTTCTCAGGGGTATGCATTTAAATTTATGGAACACGAAATCCCGAGGGTACTATTGCATCCGGAAATTTCAACATCAGACGGAGGTCGGAACCGCGAGAAGGCAAGAGATGTGTCAATAACTCTAGCTTAAAGAATCTACAGCACCTGACGGCAGGAGCTGTAGTCGCGGGCCTTTCATTGTTGGTTCGTGACCGTTGGTCTTCCCCACTAGCTTTCAACTTCGGATCTGCGGTCCGATTTGCGATCCATAATGCGAGCGTTTGGGGTGTCGATGTTCCGGGTTCCCGAATCTGCGCCCTGAATCTCGGACCATGCCTGACTCTGAGCTGTCGCTGAGCACGAAGATGAAAGAAGGCTTCATGGCTGCTTTACCGAGCCCGCGGCCCTGCACCGTCGCTACCTTGCCAGCGTCGTCTCAGGTGTTCGGGGCCCATGGTGTGTTGCCATCTTGTTCTGAAAAACCTTGATCCGAATCCCCTTACCAGCATTCCTGCCACCCATGCCTGCCCTTCAGGAGCCCATCCATATCCAAGTCGGCGACCCAACAGCCTTACAGGTGACCTTGACCGCAAAGAGAAGGTTGAGGTTGTGGGGCACGGCATGGTGAGCACGCTGTCCAACTGTCAGGTGCCTTCCTTCTCAGAGCAGCTTTCCCACATGCTGGCAGTAATATCGGAATCGATACTGCCGCTTCCGTTTGAACGTCGCCACACCCGGCCACCGGAGCCAACAGCCATGCGACTTGCGAAGGTCCGATGTTCATCCCGGAGCCCGCCCTACATCCCCAACTACCACACCAGGTCCGTTGCCACCTGCGCTCGGAACCCATCCGTTGGCAGGCCAACGAAGACATCAGCCAGCAGGTCGTAGTCCTGACCCCCGACCAAAAGGACGAGATGCTACTCAAGGCTGGGAGACCAGGGTGAAGAGGGGCCACAGATGGCATGTGATGGGTAGGCTTTTGGCGTTTCTGTTTTGCGCAGGGTCTTTCTTTCCTTCGGTTACAGCCCTCTTGCGAAGATTCAAACCGGCCAGTCAGAGTTTCTTGCGGGACATTGAACTACAGTGGTGTAACAAAGTGCCGGTCAATGAGGCGCGGCTCAGGGTTTAATGTTCTTGAAGAAGTCGAAGAGCAGCCTCGTCTTGCTAGCTCCTTATAGCCCAGAGCCAAGGCCGTTCGCAGCACCCGGTCCCAAGAACGGGTCCTGGTCTTTGTAGCTATGAAGCAGCTCGGTTGCTCTCTGCAGACTGTTGCCGTGGCCATGTCTGTTTAGAGTGCAGGCAGATTTGGAATGCTTCGACAATGATGGATTGTACAATGCAGAAAGGGTCGGTCATAGTCATGGCTGTCCTGCAGCATGAAGACGTGGCCTGAATCCTGAAAGTCATGTGTGTCCGCTATCATAGCTAGCCACCCTTAACTGCAGCAACCCTACCCGTCTCGCTTGTCAATTGTTCTGCCTTCTAGGAAAAACTGCGACCTGGTGGCACGCACATTGCGAAAGCGCCTTGATTTGAACTACGAGGTTCAAGGTCCCTACCTGCTTGGCTCCAGCTTGTGTGCTGGCAGCCTGTCTTGCGCAGTGCTAACAAGCGAACGCTTGGCGGATTGTGGGCACGCCTGTACTTTTCGACTTCCCAAGTACGGTCGAGAGGGATCGAGGCCGAGTGCAACCCTCAGCAACTTATGCCCGGAGGAATGGGGTCGTTGCCAACGCCATGCACAGCGACAAAGATCAGCAGGACGGGCCCCGCTCTTTGCGCTTGGGAGCGAGTCCTTGTTTCGTATGAAGCTCCGGCCTGGAGATGCTGAGATCCGAAGTTTACCGGCTAGAGGAGCGCGAGGAGGCTTTGCAGCAGCTTCGCAGCGGTGCGGCCCGGGTGACCTGGCTTCTTCTCGTACTGCTTCGCAAGTTGAGCGACTTTGGAGTTGCACCCGTCACTCTGATTCAGAGCTTTGTTCCATCGACTTGAATTGGAGGTGCTCGTGGCCACCGACGTGGCGGCCAGGGGTCTGGATGTTAAGGGCATCGCGCTGGTCGTGATGCTTGGTCCTTGTTGGAGTTCAGAGTTCCTTTTTATTTTGATTCCGGTTCAGCGGATTTTCGACTGGCTATGGCAGCCCTTCCGTCCGGAGGCTATGATGCAACGCATTTAATTTTCAGTAGACTTGTCAAGCGCTTGGTAACGAAGTTCTCAGTGTGCCGGCTTTGCGCGCAGCCGGGAGAGCAGAGAGCCGAGGAACTACGACCCAGCAAACAGCACGGAGGCCACCAAGACATGTCAGTACGCTGTCTTCTGCAGTGTCCGGTTGGTGCGGGCATTCTTCGGGCTTTTTGGCTTGTTTCAGGCCTGCAAGCAGGCAATAAGGCCTCACAGGCTCAGCTCAATGGGCGTCAAAGAAGGGCTCAGGTATTCGGGTTTGTTCGCCCTAATGTGAACAAACCGCTGCAATCGCGCTTTTTGGAAGGATCATGTTCATCGGATTGGCCGCACTGGCCGTGCCGGGCAGCGCCTGGGAAGCCAGTTCTTCGAGCGTGTGCACTACTTTGCCCGCTGTAGAGATCCAGGTTTGTCTGTGTAGCAGGTGTCGAACACAGCACTGCAGCCCCCTTTCTGCTGGTTTTGTGCGCTTGCAAGGTCAAGCCTCTTGTAGCGACAACTCATAAGTAGATGTTGCTACCGACTGCAGAAGCACCGATGTCAGCACTGATATGCGATACCACTGCTGTCGAGCCCCGGTGTACTCTCAGACCTTCAAAAGCCTCCTAGCAGAAAGGTAGGGCAGCGACAGCAAAGGCGATAGCTGCAACAGAGCACGGATCTGCATTTTATAACGCGTCCCTTATTTGCGGTGAGTGCCATTTTCGAGGAAGGGGCGCAGCATGACCTTCCTCACACGCTCCGGTGAGGATGCCTACAAGGCAGAGGGTGAGCCAAAGAGAATTACCGTAGTTGGTTTTGCTGGGAACAGTTGTTCCGAGAGGAAGTTCCTCACGGGTTGCAGGATACAGGTCGTATGGTCTTTGACTTGGACAAAGTCTGAGCTTCTGCCGTGGAGAACCGACGCGAACGTCTTATTCTGCAGGCTCCTTCCGAAGTGTGTCTCCAAGTCTAGCTTCGGTCGCTGAGCCCCCGCAATCGGGAAAGACTACCTTGCCTGAAGGCCGTGGGCATCGCCGAGGTCATGGAGAAGGTTGGGGACGCCTTGCGCGTCCTTGCCGCATTTCCGCATCTCCGCGCAGCTTCGTCGCCCCATCCAGGCCGGCTGCCCAGTGCCTGCCGAGATGCAGCAGCTGGCCGCCTGGCCAAAAAGCCCAAACCCGGGCCCGGGCTTTGAAAGACTGAGAACTTATGGTCAAGTCCTCTCGAAAGGAAAATCTTTTTTTTGTGATCACGCCCGCCTTAGCCGAATTGAACAGCAACTTCACAAATCACAGGCAGAACCACGCACATTAATTCTGTTATGGTCATTCGTGGTTACCGGAGAAGGTCACCTCCAAAGCTGCCACAGTCTTCATCATACAATTTGTAGCAGCAGCACTAACAACAGCAGATTTGAAACTTAGAAGTGTTTTCCGAGGTGGATCGCGTTCGCCAGCGCCAGGCGCAAGCACGCCAGAGCGACCAGCGCTGGGAGGACTTGCCAAAGGCTTGCAGACATGCAGCATTCCGGAATGAAGGGGTGTTTACTTGTATGCGAAAGGCGTCAGGAAGACCCTGCAACAATGAGGGCATGGCTCCATTTGCGCGGGTTTTCCAGGTGCTGATGGTCGCGGAGAAGCCCTCTGTGGCCAAACTGGTTGCCGAGCTCCTCGCCATCAGATTTGCGGGCTCACCGGTGGCCCACGGCGTTAAAGTTTGGGGTGGTGTCTCTCCAGCTTCAAGCCCATGTATCGGAAGATGCAGATGATGCAGTTGCGCTCAGGGTCCTTTCAGTGCGTTCGGAATAGTGCTTTCTTGCTCGTGCCCAACATGCAGCCGTGAAGCACATGCGCTGTCAATTAAGCAGAAGCTCCGTAACAAGTTCAACTTTTCACCCCAGACTTGGCTAAGCTGTACTGACTCTGCTCTCGTCTTGAAGCAGGTGTCACGTGAAATTCTATTGCCTCGGTTAGATCAGAAGATCGAACTGGTGACGATCAGGCTATGGAGGAAGATGATGTTCACCATGACCATAATCATTCTCGTGATTGCCATATGGATTCCACCGCCTCATCATATTCCTCCTCGGTCTGAACCTCCTCGATCTCCACGCCTTGGACCGGACAAGCAGAGACCCAGGAGCCTCTCCAATGGCCGCCTTCGCTTCCGCAAAGGACAGAGCCGAGCGGTCCAAATCTTCGAGTCGCGCAGCTTTGAATAGCGGCAAGTTTGGAGATTGAGACGGGGTTGTTATTATGTTCACTTCCGCTAGGCTGCAGGGCCTGAAAACTTCGGTGAGCTTAATGGCCCGGCAGCTTAGGTTTGTGACTTGGTTCCCGCCGGCACAACAGAAGTGCCGCATCCTCCAGACCTCTACCATCGGGCATATCTTCGGGCTCGACTTCGAGGCCCCAGGAACATGCCACACGACTGGTAAACAAGACTGCATGAAGCTAGCGTCCTTCATCGTTTCGTTCAAACGTTCGGGAGCGGGTACCTGACGCTGATCTTCCCAAGTCCAGTGGCTACAGTGAAATTCAAGTTTCCCCAATAGCAGGACGGAAGGCCCCCTGATCTGGCGGACCTCTTCTATGCCAACGTCAAGAAGACGGTGGAGGGGGCGGTAGCCAAGAATCGGATCGTTGAAGCTTGGAAAAACTTGGCAGGTCTTCCGCCGATAGTGCAGTCTTTAGCTTCGCAGGGCAGTGGGAGCTGCTGCTGCTCCGGCACCGTGTGATCGGTTTTGATTTCGATCTGCTTCAGATGTATGGGACTTGCTAGAGTGTCGAAGTTGATGGGACCCAGGAACACATCCAAGAGCTTGCCAGTGAAGCCGAATACCTGGCGCTCTGGCTGGACTGTGACCGGGAGGGCGAGAACATTTGCTACGAGGCTGGAGGTAAGTCTGAGCCAGGCCGACGATACACATTCGGGCTTTAAAAATCCAAAATCTGGTCAGGTGACATCGCTCTGCAGCACCATCCCGGAGGAGATGCTTCTGTGGTTGCACAGTGTTGGTTTGGATTTCACTCTAAGTTGAGCTACTTTCAGACGGGTTATGATCACGGTTTATGTTCCCAGCTGATGCAGGGTCTGAGCCTGGGTTCCAAAATGCACTCAAATGGAGTTTTCACTTACGTTGACGCTCGCATGAGGGCGTTTGTTCAGCCACACATGCGAGGAGAACGTCTACCGTGCACATTTCTCGGCGCTGACGCAGCCGGAGATCAAGCACGCCGGCTGAGAAGTAGCCTCACTGTACCCTTACTGCTTTCAAGGCTGTGCTTTCAAGTTGGCCAGAAGGACTGCTTTCAAGACGCTGGGACGCCCGGACAAGCAGCTGGCTATGGCCGTGGATGCACGCCAGGAGCCGGCTTAGGCCCGGTAGGAACGTCTGGCCTTCCCTTCGGTCCTTCATGTCCCCCCCTGATGCTGTCTGACAGCGTATTGGGAAATTGCAAACGAACAGGAGCTCGACTTGAAGATTGGGGTGACGTTCACGCGGCTTATGACCCGCACGTTTTTGAGCCTTCGCGAGCACACAGCATGTAAATCAGGCAGGATCGACTCGAGCACAAGATCCGGAGTTGACTTTGGCTGCCCCCACCAAGGAACTACGCCAAGGAGAAGTTCCGAGTCTGGGACCAGACCTGCCTGAGCTACGGCCCCTGCCAGACTCCCACACTTTGGTTCTGCGTGGAGAGGCACAAGGACGCCACGAATCCTCGAAACACAGGCTCCTGAAATCTAGGGTAACCTGCTCCCTTCGGTACACATGTCAGCCCCCCACTTGCTCCATGAGCGCGAGAAGGAGATCGAGCAGTTCCAGCGCCAGGACATTTTCACACCCACGGTGACTGCCGCGGGCTGAGCAATCTTCACAGTTTGGGGCTTCGAGCTGTTGTCGGCTGGCATCAACCGACTCAAAGCTATCCAAGTTTGTGAACAGTGGAGGCCTGCCGCAAGCCACAGTGCGTTGTACGTAAGCGCGATGTGGTCGAGAACTAGCATGCCGGTGAGAAAGGTCAACATTGAAGACTACCCTGTCGAGCTCAGCTGGGAAGAGGCCTGAGACAGGTGGTTGTGAGAGAGATCAGAGCTTAGTAAACTTGGCCGGTAAAAGGCTTGTAGGGAATTCCTCGTTCATCATCACCAAGGACATCGGTCATGTTGTGGAGCGATTATGAAGATTGTTGCTCTCGGTGGTTGTACGTTGAAGCCGGAGGTGTTGTAGTGTGATCAATGAAGTTTCGTGGAAGATGCGGCAGTTCTTTGTCAAACGTGAGTTCCGAACGGGCAGCACTGCAGCAGCGTGAACGTAGGACGTACAAAGTCGCATTCAGCATGCAGCTATTGTCCCCGCCGACAACCTGAAGCCATGCCCCCGACCAGGGCTCTACGCTGGATGCCGGACGGTCCCAAAAGCTAGAAAGGTCATTGCAGGCGAGGCCACATGCACATGTAAGTTTGTCGGAGCTTCGGACAAGGAATTCTGGGGTTTCAGGATCAGTCCTGTTATCAAGGCTTTCTCTTCCGGGCCCTTGGAAGACCACAGCGGCACTGCGTTCACTAAAACTTGAGAGGCGGACTTCGTTGAGACTGTGTGTCATGCCAAGGCCCCGAAGATCCAGTGGTCTTGTGCCCAAGATTCCCTAGATGTACTCGCACTTGTAGCAATGGCGGCAGTATGCCATGCCCCCGGAGTTCAACAATACCGGCACTTTTTATCATGTCCGGTGAAACCAAGTACGGGCGACATTGCTGGTTACAGTCGCGAAATGCAGGCGGTCGTCATGGAGGACGTCACTGATTAGGGGCCGAAACACGATAGGATGTTGGGACGAACACGACCACATATCTTGGGGAGGGGTTTCAAAGCATCTGCTTGGCCCAGGGTGCGGCAACCGCTACTCGGCAAGGATTCTGCAACTTCTCTTGGATTCGGCGGCAAGGTTGTCTTCCTGGATCTCAAGTCGTCAGCTCATCTTTCTTCAGGGTTCACAAAGTTCGGCGACCCAAGTTTGCAGCCAGATGGACGTCATGGCGCCGGTGTGCACGGAGCTACAAAGCTCTTGCAGTCTCAGGCTTCGCTCATTGAAGTGACATCAACCAGGCCATGGACTTCAGCCTCGGGGCTCAGGGTCGAGTTTTCTGGAAGGGGTCTCAAGTTCAAGGGCAAGTGCTGTCTGCACGACCCGGTTGCTGTCCTTGAGCCCATGGCGGATTAGCCTTGGGCTCTCATGCCACTTCCAGAACAGGAAACGTGCGCGGCGGCCGGTGGGGCTCAACACAGTCCAGCTGCTGAAGGAGCGGAGGGGGGGGCGAAGGGAGGGGAGGTTTTGGTGAAGTTTGTGAGTTGAGCCGACCATGGTAGTTTGACTTTGGATATGCGGGTCGGGAAGGCTGGGGAGATGCTGCGAAAAAAAAGACCATACATCTCGGGTGCCCCCGGGAAGGCTTATCTTTGGGCCTCGCCTTTTGACGTGTTGCTTTGCTTCACTGTTCCTGAGGCACCAAGCCCACCAGAATGCAAAAATCATGTCCATGGCATGCACAGGCAGCTTCCACTGGGCTTGGCATGTCCCCGGCGCAGAGCCTCGGAGCACTTGAGTTTTCAGGCCCTGCGCATGACCGAACGCATGAAGGTGCAAAGTACCGAGGTGCATGAAGGTCGCCGAGGGCCTTTATTCTTCTGGCTACATCTCATATCCACGCACGGACGCTCATCTTGACTGACAGCATGTTTCTGCTTCGTTAACTATACTTTCTGCGAATGAGGGCCAGTCCTCTAAGGGAATACTTGATTGATATGACGTGCTCACGCAGAACCTGGAGGGAAAGGTAGTTTCGGTGGAAGTTTCTGTTGGGACAGTGAGGAAACCACGAAGTACTCGGACACATTCGACCTCGTGGGTGCGCTTCGAGAGCAGGCCAACCACCCGTCGTGGGGACGCTTGGCAGAGTGGCGCGATCATGGACCCTCGGGTGTCGCTGTTTAGTGGGACTCCGATCTTTCGGCTGATTTTCGTGCTACGCTGCTACATTCATCCAGCCGGAATGAGGGGAACTTGTTATTTTGTGCTGCCCGCGCCCCATGCAAGCCCCCCAGCGGGTGGCGACAGCCTTGCACATAGCGACAGGAAGCTAACTGTATGGGACTGCCCAGGAAAGACAGTGAGCTACCTCCTTCGGCAAGGGTCAATCCGCTCCCCAGTCTCCGGTACAGACAAAGGCGGTTGGGTCGGCAGCCTGTGCTTTGGGTAGACGTTACGTGCTTCGACATTAGGTCATATACATGTGTTCAGTACGCATATAAATAGGCAAACAGACAAGTAAATGATTGCATAGAAGGTACATGCATAACTAGATAGGCAGATCTTGTTTGCTAGCCTTGCCGTTGGCAGGCGACCATCCCCCTATTACACCGATGCGGGCAGCACCAAAGGAGAAGCAAGCGTCAAAGTAGAGGTTCTAGAAGCTAATGCCCCCAAGATGCGCAGACTGTTCGTTGCCAACCTGCACGTTTCTGTCGTGCATGTGAGGCATGGCATGAGAGGGCAGAAGATATGAGACGTGCTTTCCTAATTATTGGTGCTGGCCGAAGGACGAGTTCAGCAAAGGCAAGGAGTGGCGCTTGTACGACTACGTCACACGACATTTCATCGCATCGCTGATGGATGATGCCGAGTATGACGAGACTCCTGACAGCATGATTCATGCTATCCCAGGCCTAGAGCGTCAAGCCGTGAATTGCAGTGACTTGCGCTCAAAGCCCAAGAGCCTAGGCCGGCTTCACGCCCGAATTCCATACCTCTGCTGTGCTTCTTGCGGTTAGAGAACCGAGGATACGGTACATTTTCGACGTGTCTGGTGAACGGTTCGTGTTCACTTGCCACGAGGTTGGAGTTCCGTAGCCTGCAAGTGCATTCATGCTCACCATGTCGTGATTTCGATCCAGAGGTGGCAGAGCGTGGTTTTCTGTATGCGATGCCGTGGAAGGTGAACGATCTGTGGCCTGTCTCTGTGGAATCTTCCCGACTATTGCGTGGGTGTAGCAATTGCAGTCTCATGCAGTATCGTGTGGAACTTCTGTGTCACATTTCACCAGTATCAGAATGTCGCAGTCGAGTCGCGAAGACCATAGTGGCCTCATTTCCGCCCGTCAGAGTGATTTGAAAAGCAGAGGCTGCCTGCAGGCAGCATCTTAAACTTTCAGGCTTAGGCGCCTGCAGGAGACAAATAGCTTAGATCATGGATGAATTCGGCTGCAGCACTTTTGGGCTCGTTGTTGCTTAACTTCGTTGTGACAAGGAAGCTCGAGGAAATTGACTGGCAAATGCCGGTTCCTCGGCCTGGTTCAGCACAGCTCATGATTGAAAGTTCTGAATATTCCAGATCTGCAGGGTCTGAATGCAGACAGAGGGGGTTTTGGGGTTTGTTGGTGCTTAGAGCATCGAAGCTGCAGTTCAACAGAGTTTTCGCAAGTTTTGCTCCGCACCCAGGACATGGCAGAAGGGGACCAGCTGCCTGTGGACGAGGTTGCAGTAACTCGTGACACGACGAAGCCTCCCGATTATCTGAGCTTTTGCCGAATGATGGGAGCTGCATGTGGCAAGGTTGCAGGGTCTTACGTGTGCTGATTGACGTTTGAGACAATGGAAGCAACATGCGCAACGTACTACGGGCTTGAGGCCTTCATCCGTACCTTCTGCAGAACGGGTTCGCGAAGCCGGCTTAAGCTAGTTAGGAGAGAGAGCGAACTCGTCGCCCTGATGGACAAGAATGGCATCGGCACCGATGCCTCTATTCCGCAGCACATGCAGTCCCTCGACATTGAAGGTCTTCGGAGGTCTGAGATTTGACGAGCATGAATGGATAGGTGCGCAGAATTGAATGATGTTGGCAGAATCAGAATTCTGTGGATGTGCTTCCTCTGTGCCTTGAGTGGTCTACGGACTTGCCTACTTCACGAGTTCATTTCCTCTGTAGACCGGGAGACAGTGCCAGGGGAGACAGGGCCAGCAAATCTTCTCACTAAGAAGCCGCTCACCTCGAACGATTCAGGAATGTTGTGGACCGGCACTACGTCATGATCTGTGGCCCTGGGGCGGACGGCCAGCGAGGAGAGCTACCAGCTGCAAGGGATTATGGGGACTTAATATGGCAGGGCTGTGGCTGCCGCGCTGCCATGCCATCATACACCCGCAAGGTCTCGAGCACAGAGGGACACTATGTTTAATCGACAACGTTCTTCAACATTTTTGGGAGTCTGCAGTGGACGCCGAAACCGGCAGCCCTGCAACGTCTGCGATGATGAAATCGGGCGAGCCTATCTATCATTGAGGCTACCCAACAGAATTTTTTTGGCCTAAAATTTCCTTTTGGTGCCTCCGGATCATCGTCCTTGGTTTCGTTCTCCTCCGAATCCTCGTCCTCCTCCTTTTTCTCTTTATTATCCACCAGGTCAGACCCTGGCCCGAGGTAAATTCTAGGCAAGTCTGCAGTACCTCCCTCGGATGATCGGGAGGTAAATATAGATTCTCGAGGGTGATGAGAAGGATGATGGGGAGGATGGTGAACAGGATAGTTTTCTGAGAAAATATTTATTTTCAAGAATACCGTTGTTTGGCTGCAATTCCATTCTCATAAGTCTGCGAGGCGAAGTCATCTCCAAAGGGGGCAAAGGGAAAGGCCGGAAAGGCGCCCCTGTCTGCATGTGAGATTATGCGAGGAGCATTGAGGCATAGGGTGCAGGGCATCAAGGCCTCCGCAAAGCCAATGAAACTACAGTTCTTTTCGACTTTCTGTCTATTGCAGCCTTCAGTGCAGCACGAGACAAAATCGTGTTCTTCTGCCTCAAGTCTCCATGAGCTTTGATCGAAACCGGTTCACGAGCCCGAGACGCCGAATCTCGAAGCCCTGGATCAAGAGCAGGCGCTATCAATCCTGCACATGTCGCGAGTCTCGCCTGAGGCAAAGGGAAAGGTGCTAAAGGTGAAGATGGACGGCCTGCCTCGAGGCAGGCTTGGACCAAAACGAGTTGAAAGTTCAGGGCTCATCGCTACCCCAGAATTTTGTGGGAATATTGGCACATGCGAGAGCTGATTTGGACGTTGGCCTGATTAGTTTATCAGTTCGAGGTGGCGGCATCAGATTGGGTTCTGCAGATGGGTTGTTCTCATTCAGGGTTCCTCTAGGAGTCCAGCAGATCGGACGGTAAACTAGTTCTGCCGAAAACCCCATCCCACTCGACCCCTTTTACGAACTCTGTCAGTCTCCCATGAATGGCAAGAGGCACATGGTGCCCACGCCAATGGGGCTGAGCTTGCTGGCCGCCTTCGAAGAACTGGATGCGCAGTGCTGTGCTCGCAAGAGCGGGACTGAGGGCTTACATAGGGCGGGGCTCGGCATGAAGAAAATGAGGAATCGGGGCTTCGGTCTCGGGCCTTGAAGATTTCAAGCCTTGCTTTGGATGCTTCGGGAGGATGCGCAGATTTTGGCCTTTGAGCTGCCGCGCTGTTAAGAAAAGCTCACGCGCGCTCGTTGACCAAGGCTTTGCCGCCCTCCTATCAGGGCCTTCATGGAAAAGCAGGCTTCGGCACAGGAAGGGTTTGACGAAGCAGCGCAGCAGTAGCTACGTAGGACCCTGGAATTCGATGGACTAACCGATGTGTGATGCCATACCCGCAGCATTCATAGTCATTGAAGTTTCTTTCGATCAGGTGGCGCAGATTGCAGAAGGCTTGCTGGACAAGCCGGACGTCACAGCGCAGAACTTGGACCTGCCACCTGCCTGGAACAAACACGTGAAATGAGAAATTTGTTGAATGAAGTAATCAGCCCCCTAGTCAAGACGTGCACATCTTTGCAGGTTCCACTCCAAGTTCTTGAGGTTCCGAGACTCGTGGCAGCAAAGACGGCAGCAGCGTGGTGTGCAACGCGTCGACCACGTCGGAACTTGCTTCCCGGGCTCGTCGGGCTCACTGTTGAGGCTTCCTTTATTATGCATTCTTTAGACAGCACCCATTATCTCCTTGGTCGCTCAAGGACAACATCAGTTCCCTGGACCGGTTTTTCATGCGGAAAGACCAGATGGCGCAGTCTTGGTCAGGCAGTCACGGTTGCGGTCTCCGTCTGCAGCCCCTTTGCAAGCTGATTCACACCCTTTGTGTCCGTGCTCTTTGCTCTTCGGAGTTTGCAGATGCTTCTCCCTGAAACTGTCAAGTTTGGACAGACGCATGTCCTCCTTGCAGTGGCCCTCCCAGCCTCCCCGCAAATCCCCGCTAATTTCGTATTTCTGTTCAGCTACCACAGAGGATGAGAGGGACTTGTGGTAACAATCGGTGCCACATACTCCCCCGTGCTGACAGGAGCTGGCCATAAACGTCAAGGTCTCTCGGCCTGATCAGCAGAGTTTTTTCAACGACAGAAGGCCGCCTGACTCTAACTAGCTTGTACTAGCTATTGATATACCCACGGCCGAAAGAGTCCAGGGTAGAAACGTCGCAGAACCTTGCTGCGGTACCTGTGTTTCAGGAGAAAGCTGGGGTGGCGAAAACAAGTGGCACAAGTGGGATGGAAAAGGCGGGTCTCTGATGCCTCAGACTCACAGCGTTTTGCAAGAAGCATTGCATGGACCAATTATGCAGTCATCACATGCCTCAAGTTCCTGCTGTGGATTCGACAGGAAAGGGCCAGAACAAGGGTGTCAAGGGCAAGGGCGGCAAGAAGTAGCTGTCTCTGCATCGGCAGACCGCTGAGACCATGAAGGAGATGCAGTTTGAGCACCGAATCAGGGCCCTTGGTATCTGGGACCTGTGCGGTTTGGCATGACAAGTCAGGACGGCGAGCAGCTCCACCGAATCGTGGACCTAACGTCCAATTGTGATAACTTGAGGTGGTGCATGCGGGACCTCTAAATGGTCTCTCGCCGCCGTCCATAGGCTTCTCGCAAGCTTCAGGCCTTTGCAGTGGCGAAGGCCGGAGCACAACCATGCACATGCAGTCAAGATCATCCAGGGCTGACGCACGCTGACGAAACATTCAGCGGCTTGAACGCCCCCTGCTACGTGGGCATCACATTGCCCTGCGATCTTCCAAGTCCAGAGCTGGAGCGTGCTGCCATCTACTGCCATCTGATTGTGCCTCGTGTACGCCAGAAAAGGATCTTACTTCCATCTGACTGTGGCTCATGTACGCCGTATAACCGTATAAGGCCCTCAGTCCGACTGTTCTCCCAGTCCGCCTGAGGCAGCATGTTCGTTGCCACGACGGCGGTGAAGCGCAAGGGGAAGTGAATGAGGGCAATAATAGCGAGATGCTTTCTTGGTTAAGACATACTCTGTGGCCAGTGCAGCCGCAAACACCAGCGTGGCGGAGCAAAGTCGCGCCCACAAAACACCTGTGCAAAAACACATGGTTCGGACCTGCGATAGTTTTATTTAACCATTCGGGCGCTTTTCAGAGGACCAGATGAAGCATCTGGTGCCTCTTCTGCAACCACTGCAGGAACTTTTAGAGGGCGGGGCCTGCAACAAGGTGGCCGGGAACGTGTTGCTTGCGAGAGTTTATGCCGTTCGTTGAGGTGGCTGTCGGAATGAAGCCAATTCCTTGTGGCCGATGCAGCCGAGACAAGCAGGGGGAACTCTCTTTCAGGTCAACAAAATAGAATACTCGACTGACTGCTGCACGTCCAAGGCTTCGTAGGAAAGCCGGTGCTTACAGACTTCGGATCTCTTGAGCTGTAAATGGTCGGTCATTGCATTGGGCAGGAGTCTGTAGCCCACAATCCCCAGCCATGTGCTGCGGCGTCCGGCCCGAAAGGGCCCATGCTGCCCAGCGTGGCTGCCATTCCAAGCCCGAGAGGAGGCCTTCTGCTGCGCGGCCACACTTCAGTGCTTTCAGATTACAGGGTTGTGGAGTCGACTGGACTTTTTGGCCTGGCGAGGTTTGCCTGTTCACGGCCATATGAGTATTAAGACGGGGTCCGAATTCGTTTCATGCGGTCTGCCGACCTATTTGGAGGACCCTCCCTTTTTCTCTGTTCTAGCAACCGGTCTACCGTCTTGCAGCATCTTGAAGCTGTTCCACGAGATAGAGAGAACGTAAAAGAAAGGTATGCTATCGTTGTCCCTTGAAGGGCACGTCTTGAATCCCGAAGCTGTAGGGCGTCCGTTCTTGTTGAATTTCTGAAGAGTTGGCCACAAGGAATGCTTCCTTCAGCTGTCCACCACAGCCACTCCACAGACTCGCCGGCGTGCCTTGCATCTGACCCCATCTAGCTTACATAGGCACGACATGCTTCAAGAGGATGCATGCTCTGCATGCATCGGTTTCTTCGAGCTGAGAGCAGCAGCCATTCAGTTTTGCGCCTTTTCAATTGCTGGCTGGGACTTCAAGATTCCCGCTGCGGGGCATTCGGAAGACTCTTCCATTCTGGTGCTTAATGCGAACAGCCCAGGAGTGGCGACTCTTCGTGAATTCTGGCGCTGTGCGAGATATCAGCATAAGAGACTCAGCTTCTGTTTCGACGCAAGGGTGGGCGCCGCTTGTTTCTCAGCAATCACCCCCCCCGTCTAGGGGTCCCCGTAAGCCGGGAGGACTCACCTTTTTGTTCCATTCGGTGCTTGGACCGTGAGAGCTTATTTCCTGCACTATCAAGCTCCCAATCGAACTTAGACGTTCTTGATTCCATGGTGCTTCAACCCAAGGCGCCCCAACGCCTTATGCCGCCGTGCTCGCAGCAGCGGTTTCGCCCGGGGCAGAAAGGCTGCCTTCGGCTCTGTCCGGGGCTTGGCCCGGCAGGACAGACGTTCTTTCGCCCTCGTCATCCTTTGTCGTCCCTGCTGCCTCATCTTCGTTTCAGCCATCCGAGATTTGTCCGGCAAACAGGAAGCACGCTTTCAAGAACATTTTCCACATGCTTTTGTCCGCTTTACGGGATATGCCTTGGCGGACCCGAGGCTCCGCAGAGAGTTCGCAACCATCGGCCTCAGTGGTGCGATGGTAAAGTGCCTCCGACATGAAAGGACCGTAGATTAGATTTTTGGTGGAAGTCTACACCGCTTCTCCCCAGGCACTAGGCACTTTTGGACGCACATTCGTTTGATACTTAGACTAGGATGTGGGGGGACCTCATGCTACGTACGAACAGCCACGAAACCCCAAGGAATACGTGAGGATCTTGGGGGTTTTGGGGTTGGGGTTTAGGATTTTGTAGAGAGAGGATGTATTTCGGCTGTCTCGCATGCAAGGCTTGGATGTTGCAGCTGAGGGCTCAGTCTTATGATTTTGCATAAATCGGCAGCTTAGAGCATTCGCAGTCCGAGCATTCACAACATAAGTATAGAAGAATTAAACCTGAACTGAAACGGAGCTTGAGATTGACGTGTCCGTTGTGTGAAAAGACCGTCTAAGTCCTGCGTTTGAACACGGGCGTCGGCACCAACACTGAAGCCGCGTGGAGCTTGAAAAAAGCAGTGATTGCCAGCTTCGTCAGATCTTTGAGGTACACGGAGGCTGCGACAGAAGTGCTTTTCCCTGGCATCGGTGTTCTCGATGACGACAAGAAGATTGAGGTCGGCAAGCTGGAGTCGAAGTCTTCCGGGATCATCTGCCTGCCTGTCTGCCATGCCTGCCTGCCATGCCTGCCTGCCCATCTAAGAACCTAACTTCCCATGAGCCGCCTTCGTTACCCTACAGGTCGACCGGCCAGGGCGCCTACCTGTTTAACTGCCCCCCAAAACAAACTGAAAGACTTCTAACCACGGAAAGAAACAGTGAGTGACCCAGTACATGAAACGGCGTAGAGAAGCGCAGGCATGTAGAAATGGGCATGAACACACAGGCACTGCGCTTTAGAGCAGCAGAAGTCCACGGCTGGAAATCCTCCTGCAAACGCGCCTACCTGTCTTCAACCCTGCTTGGCCAGTCCCGGCTCGACTACGACTACGACTACGACTACAACTACTACGACGATAAGTACGGCTACTGCTGGTGCGACTATTACCATCACCACTACTACTACTACTACTACTACTACTGCTGCTACTACTACTACTACTACTACTACTACTCCTACTACTACTACTACTACTACTACTACTACTACTATTACGACTACCGTTGCTGCTGCTACTACTACTACTACTACTACTACTACTACTACTAGGAGCGTAGGTCATAATTGACGCCATGTTTTTCCTTACTTTACATGCCTAAAACTCGGGTTTTAAGCACATTTTACTAATTCTTGGGG